AGGATTAACCATAGCACACTCCTGGGCTGTGGTGATACGCACACATAAACACACACACACACCAGCCCAGCCCCCGTCCAAGTCCCTTGACTGAGATGGGACAATGCCCTGGATTTCTTTACTGGGACCCCCTGACTGATGACAGCTCCCTCACTTGACATGAGAACGACTCCCCTCGAAATTGAGACAGAACCATTTGGTTAAAGCACATGCCTTGCATTTGCCACATAAGTTTGCTGGCACATGGTGTGGTTGTGAAATTGACATAGCATTGTGCCACACAGCAACATGTCCACCCCTCAACTGATAATTGCTGACAACTATGTCAAGTTGATTGGCTTTGTGCCCGTGTTAATAGGTAAGTCAATACAGAAGGACTGCAAGCCTTGAAGATCTGGCTGAGGAGGCAAAGCAGAGATACTGTGAGCATTCAAATAGGTACAAAGTAAATGAGTGTTAAGAGAACACATCTGATCCAATCCATGAGCTGGTTGTCTGTCCCTGAACACAAAATGACCGAGTATCAGCATTGCCAGTGTGCACCAAAGTTTACTGTCGAACTGTATTGTAAGTGAATTAGAGATGGGTGTGGTGAGGCTGGAATGTATCTGATGCCAACATTCATTGTTGAGGGTTGTGTACCGTCACTGCCCATGAAATGTGCTCTGAGATGCTGGGGTCTGGTGTTCAAGATGGAGGTCAGGAGGTGACGGAAGCGCGCTGGAGTCGTCGGGTAACTGCTCTGACTTTCATGGCAGAAAATGTTGCAGCCTAGTTTCGATCTGGCAGGTCTGAGAATGGAAACTGCACATTGATGAGGTGAGATTAGAGGTTTATAAAATCATAAGAGGCATAGATAAGGTGAATAGACAATGTCTTTTTCCCAGGGTAGGGAGTCCATAACTAGAGGGTGTAGGTTTAAGGTAAGAGGGGAAAGATTTTAAAGGGAGCAGAGGGACAACTTTTTCATATAGGCATGTATGTAGCACGCTGCCAGAGGAATTGGTAGAGGCGAGGACAATTACAACATTTAAAAGACATTTGGACAGGTACGTTGATCGGAAACATTTAGAGGGATATGGGCCAAATGCAAATCGGACTAGTTCAGATTGGACAACCTGGTCAGAATGGACAAGTTGGACCAAAGGGTCCGTTTCTGTGGTGTATAATTCTGTGACTATAATACGATATTCCACTCAGTGCTAATTTGTGAAAAACGTATCTCATCATTCAACATTTGGTTGGAAAATGGGACTTAATGCGCACAATATCGAGAAGTTCGTTGTTAGCTGTCACATGCAATTTCCCCAAGTTACCTGTGCCCATGTTGGCCAATGCCTGGGAAGATTTTGTTGATAATGTTTATACATAATCACAGCTGTAATAAATGTCTGATGGATTCTTCATTACCACAAAATTCAAGCTTAGAGTTTCTCATGTTGTAAGGGATAACATAAACATTGCCACAATGCCCTGCTGGTGGCAAAATCACATCTCTTACTATCCTGCCACCTCTCCTATTTGAAAAGAAGTCCTGGAGCTGAACTTCCCCATTTTCTGTTCAAGTGTTGTGTCGCCTGAAAATCATGGTGCCTAGCCTAGTGTGGCATGCAATAATTTTTCTCACCACAACCTTCTACATTGAGGTCTTCAGCACCCTTCACAGATAATCATGCAGCAGGAGTTGCCCTCCACAGCTGAGATCTTTCAGGATTCACATTGCAGACACTATCTTTAAAGCCCACTGTACACAACTAAAGGAGCTGCAAGTCATTTATAGTGTGCTGTAATTATCACTGAGGACATTGCCCAGAGAACAAAATTGGTTCCTCGCTTCACAGACAGGGCAGTGAAGAGAAGGGCTGCCCATTTACAGGCTGAGTGTCAAATGAGGTCACTTCACCAGTCACAGTGAGCCTGATTCCAGATAGTGGCTCTGGTCAGCGCTGTGTCCTGCTTTAAAGGGAATACCCAGCAATGCAGGAAGAAGGTAACTGCATGCTCCATGTGGGCAAATGTCACCTTATCTTCACAGGGCTGTCACTCGCTCTAACTGTGCCACTACACACTCATCTCCCCAAAGTTGTTGGAATAAAGCTGTCACTATGGCATACTTATGTTTACTCATGTGCTGTCAGCACCTCATACTTGCCAACAACTAACCTTTCCTGTTGTCTAAATGACCAGCTCAGTCACTGGGGCTTCTTCACCTCTCTTGTTCCTGCGCCACTAACTGCTCCTCCGTCCACTTCCCACATATCTAATGTCTTCCTGTGCCATACTGGAGGAACAAATGGAATCAGACAGGCCTCCAAACTGACTGGTACAGTACTACCCCCCTCCCAACCTACTGTAGACCCCTTGATCATACTAAGGACTGCTCCCCTTTGACTTTCAGACATAGCCAACTGCTTGAAGCACAAGCTTCAAACTCTTCCCCAGTGTCTGGCAGTGTGCTTGCAGTGTGACATTGATGTAACCCAGTGGTTTACAATGATATGTCCACCTGCTTGACTGTTCAGTGCTCTCCACCATGATAAGCTGCCTGCCAGTTCTCTATGCTAAAATATAAAACAAGCCACAGAGATTGGTAACCTCTAAGTAAGTGCAAAAGAAGTGAGCACTAAGTAAGCTAAGAGCCATAAGCTGCATCCTGTGTGTGTCCTTTGAGCAAAGCAACTTGACACTAGCATGTAAGTTGTAGGTGTCCCTGAGCTTGAAAGTGTCGAAGGGCTGAAGTGGTGTTTGAGTTGGTGATGATGTGGCGAGGCGGGTGGGTAGTTGCTATAGATTTCTGTGGGTATAGGGTCAAGGAGGATGGTGCCATAGGGCATGAAAGAACATAGTGGTGAAGACACAGTGAATGATGACCAGGACAATCAGTCAATGAGCTGCCAAGGACCTGCTCTGACATCCATGGCAGGAATTTGTCCCGTCTACTTTGCTGGTGAATGTGTTGAGGATGTGAAGCAGTGTATAAATTAGGTTGGACTGATAATGATGAGCAAATGCATGGTGGCTGCCACTTTTAATACATAGATTCCAAAGTTGCCATTTTAAGCTAAAGTGGAAAATTGGAAATTTTGTACTCAGTGTTGAGATTCTGACTTTTCATTTATTTTCCCCAACTTTCTCGTCATTGTCCTTACCAAATCAAGAACTGGAAAATTCAACCATGGTAGAAAACAGGAAAATGCAACATGGCAACAATAACATGCCTTAAATTTAAACATACATGCAAAGTTGCTTCTCAAATAGGCAGAATAAAAATAAATGTTTGTAGAGACAGTAAAGAATGACTGAAATGTATGCCAAACAGATCCATTTTGGATTTTTTTTAAGGAAAGATGGAAGGAGAGAAGTTGCTATGAAACCTGTGGTGGATGATGGTGTTCTTAATCAAAATGTGTTAAAAAGAGGCAGGTAGGTTTGTAATTGGCCAGAATCACTTAACTGTTGCATTCAGAGGGATTTTAGGCCTGAAGGAGATTGTGCTGCTGGCGTAGAACGGGATCAAATATGTAGAGTGGGGGCAGAATGAGATAGCGAAAAACAGTGGCAGCTGTGATACCAGAAAAATCTACATGCTCTTGCTTAAATAGTGCATTGGTTTTTTTTTTAATCTATTTAAGAAGCCAAATAGAACTAGAAGTTCAAATTCCATCTGAAAGATGGACATCCTGAAAGTGCAGCACTCCCTCAGTACTGCACTGAGGTAGTCACCATAGATTATATATAAATCCTGGAATAGAGTTTGAACCCAACACATGTGACTTGGCAGCAGGTGTACAACCACTGATACCTATTGTATGAGAACATCGTGCAAATTCCCACACTCTATCTTATTTTTTGCACTTAACTCACCACCTCAAAGCAATTACTGGTCAATTACAAATTGAAGTCTTTCCTTCCTGAAAGATAGAGGGCTGCGAGGGACCAAGGCGTTCCTTGTAAAATAATTTTGGCAGAGGTCTAAGAGTAGGTTGCTTGGCTTCTTCCTTATTGTTTGAGAAGAGTTGCTAACTGAAAGGAGGGAGACTGAGTTGGGACAAAACAAATAAAAGGATGGACGAAAAGAACAAAACATCCAAATAAGATCTGTTCTTTATTTATTTACAGTGTAATTTTGGGCAAACATATTTCTTTTACAAAAATGAGGAAAAATTAATTGTGCACAGAATGTTTAAATTTCCTTTCTTATATCTATAGCATGCAGACAATAAAATGTAATGCTTTTTTAAAAAATAGTCATTGTCATTATTATAATGAAATTAGAATAATATGCGAAAAATACGCTCTAATTCTAATGTAATGTTTGTAGCAATATATGTTTTTCAGAAATAGAAGGAACATTCCTGCTTTAACACTGGTCAGTTTTTAGTGCAGTTCAAATATGCTAGCAGAGAAATGAAAGGCATATTAAAATACTACACTGTTCAGGTTAACAGACCGCAGTATTGATTGTATTTTTTTTATTGTCAGTGATGATTGTTTTCAGAATACAGCTAATAATTCAATACTTGTTCAAAATTGTGCTATTTCAATAGAAGCACACAATTCCCAGATGTACAATCAACAGATGAGTTATCTATTACTGTATTTTCTTATGCAAAGCATGTATCCACTGTATCTACCACGTCCCATCTATCCAAGCAGCTTTTATGAAACACAATCACACAGCGTTGCAGTCTAAATAAAATTTCATTTGGATTTGGCCTCCAGCTGAGAGCGACACTGCTTTGTTTTAGCAGCAGAAGCAACAAACCAGAATGGTATGTCCTGTTTTTCATGTCTCCTGGTGTAGCTTGAGGATCACAATCAAGTTGTTCATGATTTTAAGCTTTGGAACCTCATCCTCATTTCACACCATTTCCCCTCTTCCTTTCTATTTCATTTTTGTTTAGTGTCTCTTCCTGGAGGGAAGAATTGTGATAAGTGGTTGTCTTTGCAAATCATGGCTCTGTGATTGTTTTATTTATTTATTCTCTTTTCTTTTTTAGGTATTGACCATGAACATACAGATTTAAAGAGAAACTATGTAAGTAGAACACATACTTCAGGTGTTTAACTTCAGACCTCTCGAAAGTTGCAGTTAAAATTTTTGTCAGAATTCTTAAAAGAGACCAACAGTCTTGTTTAACACTTAAAGAAAGCTTCTGTTTGTATACCAGCTTTCATAATTTTAGGAGCACCCAAAGCAGTACAAAGCCAATGATGTTCTTCTGAAGTATAGCCACTGTTGTAACATGGAAAATTAGGAAGCCAATTTTGGCAAACACATTTTAAGAATACCAAGAGTTTGAAATTACTTTCAAAAATTACTCGTTACTCTAGCAACAGGCAAGTTGTTTTACAATATGTCAATGTATTATCCCATTGTCCCGAGAATCTGTAAGTATTATGTCTGCGCAATTCGTTGCTGTTTTGATGCATATTTCACATTAGCTGCACTGTTTCTGAAATACAAAATTTTTTGAGAACATTGAATGCATGAAAAGGAGCACACATTCACTCTGTTTACAATTTAAGAATCAAACTGAGGAAGCACTTGATCAGAAAAATATTGCATTTTGTAGCATTTTCAATGTATACCAGCTTGGATTTTTAAAGCTGCACTGTATTTGTCAAATGTTCAGTTTCATTTCAATAATGTAGGGGATATTAAAATTCCATTGTGATATATTCAATGCATTGGCAAATAGATTTATAACACTACCACATTATCTTAGTAAATTTTTAACACATTAGTTTTATGTGGTTTAGCAGCATTGTTAAACAGTACATAATTATTTGGCATGAAGCATATAGTAAAATTACCCCTTATCCTTTCTAAAAAAAAATAAACGAATTTAGCCAAATCCTCTACTAGTTATTACCACATCTTACAGATCTGTTGTGCATCCAGAACTTACCTGGGAAATTGAACTATCTTCAGGTATAAGAGAATGTACCAACTCCAGTCTGAAAACCTTGACTAAATTTAAAATAGTAACTGAAATGAAGGATAATCAATAAGAATTCATGCAGTCTGTGTTTACATGTTCATTGGATCAATAAATGAAGGTTAATCTGAATTATTTTTGTAACATTCCTACTTTGTTCATTTAAAATACAGCTAACAGGCCAAATCTTCTTCTGGGCTTGAGAAAGCCTAACCTGTAACCTGATACATGACTCACAAGTTGTACATCCAACCTGTGACTTCACATGTCATTTTTGTCTTCTTACACAGGAGTCAGCATCATAGTGCTGTTTGTGAGTTGATATATAATGGAGGAGGAGCGTGGGTATGGATGCAGACTAGTTAGAAAGCCTCTCGGTTTTTTGACATTGTATCCCAGCTCCCAAAAATGTTTAAAGCCCCTCCATAACTCAACCCCTTACCTCCGTCATCCCAACCACCATTTGGCTGTCCCATCCCCTTTAAATCACCAATGCTACCCCTAAAATCATTCATGCCACCTCTATGGTCCACCATCTATCTTCCATAGTAACTCACTAATCACAATGTACAGGTCTTAGATTCCATGCAATATGATAGAAATATTTTACATTCCTTGTGGGAAAATATGCTGAATCTTACACCATCAAATAATGGCCTCCATTTTATTGATACCTGAGAGAAAAGAAATACATTCTGTCATGTGAAATAATTTCTTGTAATATTTGCAATCGAGTTAACTTGTGTGACCAAACTAGAAACTGCACGCGAGGTGCTATCTGTTATTAGAGTTTCTACCGTGTTCTCTGTTGTCAAATGGATGGAACATCTATGTTGTGAAACCCATTAGTACTTGGAACTCACAAATACAATTGTACAATCGATGTAATAACAGAGCAGATAGTAAGGATGTTTTTCCCCCAAGTTTCAATCCCAGGATATTTTTCATATTATCCAGAGCCATTTATTATCACAGTAGAAAGCATGTCAGCACAGGCGACAAGACATGTACATTTTTCTCTGATCATTTTTTCCACTCGTAAAACACTGTAAATCCTGTTGACAAACACAAAAGGTTGCTCAATGTCGGGCAAAATTCTCTTTTAAGACCAGATCCCTATGATGAACCATTGCATTAAAAACACAACCATGTTGTAATTCAGTATCTAATTTTGTTGATACACTGAAATTTGTGATAAATTTCATCACATCATGACTCTATAGCTTTGACACAAGTAACAGAGAAGACAGCAGTCTAGAATGGGTGTGGGAAGAGAGAGGTCTTAAAAAAAGTTCGCTATGTGGTGTCTAATAACCTACAACTATGGACAGACATAAATTAAGGTGATTTATAGGACATAAGGAATTGAAGAGACTTATGTAGTGATAGAGAGCAAGCAGCCTAAGGGATACCAGATATATACTACAGGCTTGTATCTCAATGTACAGTAGCAGTATTGGCTTGAAGTGTAAAATAAAGTGTAAATGACATTTGAAGGTGTGAAAACGCTTTAAGCTTACCTTTCAGAATGTTCCAGTTCCCTCAGCAGGCTTTCTATTTTCCTCACAAAGTGTGAAAACTAGAGTGAGCCTGATGCACTTCCAAATCCTTTCACCACCAGACAAAAATTATGTGCAGGAGAAAATCCAATTTTCATTCCCATTTAAAATGGCAAACCTGACCGCAGTTGACGTGGATTTACGTTTGGTCACATTTGACATTCCCAATCTGCAAAAAAGCCAGAGGAAATTAATGTGCTGAAAATACAGAAGAAAATCAGATTTCTTCAAAAAATTATGGCCTGTTGCACACTGAAATGCACCTCTAAACTCGATAGAAATTCAGTCCAAGATATTTTAATTGTAGACAATTGAAACAATTATTATAATGTTAACAATGGCAGTTGAAGAATACCACTCCTTTAATCATATAATGCATAAACGGAAGCAGCTCATTTGAAATATTTCTGCAATAAACCTCCTGTCTGCATTTCCTATTTGATATAGACTGAAAATTCTAGAACTTCAATCAGTTCTCAAAAATGAGGCCAAGCATCAGTTTAATTTGACTAATTTAGTTGATAATTCTAATTAGGCTGCGACTATTGGCTGGTTATGCAGAACAAATGAAAACTATCAAAGTGCTGTGAGTTAGATTATTTATATTTATGCATGCACATAAGCGAAAGGATCAATACGTATCCATATAATGAAGTTATTTATTAATCAACTAACATATTATTATAATTAATTCTTGGGATGTGAATGTCACCTACAAGGCCAGTATTTGTTGAATTATCCATACTTATCCTTAAGAAGGTAGCGATGAGTTTTTTCCTTGAATTTCTGCCATGTGTACAGTGTAGATACACCCACAATGCTGTTAGGGTGGAGAGCTTAAAGATTTTGGCCCAGCGACACTGAGGAAGCCATGATATTGTTCTAAGTTAGGGTGGTTTGTGCTTTGACAGGAACTTGCAGATGGTGGTATTTCCAAAAGCCTGCTGCCTTAGTTGTAGTAGGTGCCTCAATGACTGTTGAACAGTGTCTGCATAAACATAACATAAATATTTCACCTAGTCTTATGTCTATATCTACACTTCAGGTCTTGGAATTTTTATATCACATGCTCTGAAAACCTGTTTATTTCTTAAATTCCTTTGTCTGTAAAGTAAGGCGTTATGTTTATCAATGCTCTCACATGATCTACTGAGCATGTCCATTCAAAGCCATACCATAATAACATAAGATCATATGGCTCCGAGATTTGACTAAAGAAGATACCTACTAAACCACAATTCTGTATATATTTAATGGTCGATAAACGTTACTCATTTGCACTATTGTTATACGCCTTGGGAAAGTGGTGGCATAGTGGTTATGTCACTAGACTATTAATCCAGGACCCCAGGCTAATGTTCCAGGGTCATGGGTTCAAATCCCACCATGGCAGATGGTGAAATTTGAATTCAGTAGAAAATTTAAACTTGAATTAGGAGCTAGCCAAATAGTGACTGTAGAATCATTGTTAATTGGCATAAAAACCATCTGGTTCTTGGATGTCCTTCAGGGAAGGAAATCTGCCACCCTCACCTGGTCAGGTGACTCCAGACCTATAGCAATGTGGTTGACTCTTAACTGTCCTCTGAAATGGCCCTAGCAAGCTACTCATCAAGGGCAATAAGGAATGGGTAATAAATGTTGCTGGTCATTAAGTTTCCCTCTGAGCTGTGTGAGCCCAAGGATCCATGCGCAGCAATTGGCGTGTTGACGCTGTTCACAGCATCTGTTCGCAGAAATCACTGTGGTTCACAGATCTGGGAGGTCCATCAGAAGTGAAGAAAATTAACAAGACTGCTGATGCCCATATCCCATGAACAAATAAAACAAAACCACCTGGAAGCTACTACCAATTTTCATATCTCTAGTGTTGGTGTTGGTATGAAGGGAAGGCTAGAAGAAGTAGCACTAAGTGACAAGAAAAAGCAGCTGTAGATACAGAACTTCAAAGACTGTCATGCAATTGGAACAGACAGGTGGGAAGAATGCCCTGCCCAAACCACTGAGCAAGTAGGTGCAGAAAAGTCGGATGTTTTGAAACAGCTGCTCAAAGAAGCCTCTGTTTACAAAGCACATGGAAGAGAACCTTTAAAGGAAGCTCTACGCAGGAAACACAGGCGCTAAACTGTCAAGGTATCCCTTTTCCTGGGGAAATTGTGGAGATTGGTATTTTGGACTGGAGGCCTAGGACCAGTGGTGTTCTACAGGGATTGGTACTGGGTTCACTTTTGTTTGCCATTTATATGGACGATTTGGGTGAGAATATAAGAGGCATGGTTAGTAAGTTTGCGGATAATACCAAATTTGATGGAATAGTGGACAGTGAAGAAGGTTATCTATGAGTACAAAGAGATCTTGAACAATTTGGTCAATGGACTGAGGAGTGGCAGATGGAGTTTAATGTGGATAAATGTGAGGTATTGCATTTTGGGAAATGCCAAAGGTAGGACTTATACAACTAATGGTAGGGCCCTTGGTAGAGTTGTGGAACAGAGAAACCTAGGGGTTTAGTTACATAATTCTTTGAAATTTGCATC